CTACAGTCGACGTTCCACTTGATGCTCCTGGTGGAGACCTTCAGCGCGTCATTGATTCTCTCCAGAACCGTCTGCAGCTTCTGCTTCTGGGCAATCTCAGATTGGGTCACCTCTGCAACATTTAGCTTCTCACCTTCAAGCTTTTCTACAGGACAGAAACACAAGGCCAAATCAGAATAGGGATGAGGGGTAGATCTCAAGGTAGAACTTGCTTGGTTAAGTCAAGTCAAATAAAACCAATCAGAAGAAGCCATATAGTAAAATAAGCAGTTTTGTACCAAAGAGCTTCTGGAGAACCTGTCCATCATAGAGATCTTCAGCCAGGTCCTTCACAATGATCCTTTCCCCAACCAGAACATCATTGATCCAGTCGATGAGCACCTAATTTAGGCATAATCATGGGTGTCGTTTGGAAGACATAAGGGTGAATAAATGATGACAGAATTGACATTTTGGCTTTAAACACAAACCTTCATGAGTTCCTGGAGTTTTCGGTCATTTTTCGAGTTTGGGTCCACCATAGTGCGGACTTCATTTTCCTCTGTGAGAGAAAGAGACAGACAGAAGGAGAGGAAGGTGTAAGGGCTTATTATTAACCTGAGGGAGCATCAATTGAATAATCAGGCTACGGGTTCAGTACCTAGCATGATGTCCTCAGGATGAAGCTCAAAAGGTGTGGGACTCATCGGGAGATTAATGGCGTTCATCCCCTCCTCCTGCAGCTCCGATACTATAGGATACAGGACACATCGGGTGAGAGGTAACAAATTATTTCTGAATACAGTGGCAAAAAAAAAAAGAGAAAAGAAACCGAGTGTTTTATTCCTTGTGTTATGGCTGTTTTATAAGGTTTCAAAAGATTTCTATTTCAAATAATTGTTGTTTTTTGAACTTTCTATTTATCAAAGAATACTGAAAAAATATGAAGCAGCACAAATGTTTTCAACATTGCTAATATCCCAGATAGCACACGTAAGTCTGCAAGATGTCTGTTAAAGATCACGTCATCTGGAAAGCATCTGCCGTTTACTAACATCTGATAGACGTCTTTAAGATGTCAGTTTTACATACATTCTAAATCATAAACATCCTAAAGACATTTTCTAAACGTCTATTTGACATCTGACAGGAAACGTCCTATAGACGTATTGCAGATGAGCAAACACTCTAATAAATACGTCTTCCAGATGCAAACGCACATCAAATAGACGTCTCCGTGATGTAATAATAATAATATTTAGCCACCAGAGACATCATTATAAGTTTTCAATAAGCAACTACCAAGAAATGACAAAAAACACCTTAGCAACACCCTGGCAACCGCCCACAACACTATCATCACGGCTCATTTTCAGATGAAACGGTTTAAAAAATCCTATATTTATTAGACTTCAGGAAACCGTTGAGATTCTCAACATCCTCTGAGAAAAACCCAAGACTCCAGCTTTTCGCTCCAACAGCAACCCAGCATGCATCACTGTCTACAGCGCTGATTATGGGGATGCGAACATCCTGTGCTGGATTCCAGAGGCCTCCCATGGAGGACGATATCCTATTAATCAACACCCTCTCGACCTCACGCGCAGCTGCTCTCCTGCTGCTTCTTCTCGCTGACACGAGGGGTGCATCCAATCCAACGGCACGACAAAGATGTCATGTAACTTGTATTATGAGGAGCGATGAGGTTAACATGGGTGACTGCCTGGGAGGAAGCACCACAATTTCTTTAGAAATATTAGTCATCAACAAGAACTTCACAAGAAGATCTCTCTTTTATGGTGCTTTTTGCACTCTTTGAAGCTCTACAGAAATAAATAACATAATGGAGTGACATGAAAGGTGACTAAAAAAATTCCACATTTTTTTCACCAACCATTTAAGTTGTAGTACTTATCCTGTGTAATTTATATTTTCAATTGCAACTAAAGCAATAAACATAAAATGCACTGCATTTTGTGAAATAGCCCTTTTTAAAATCCAATCCTACATCAATTACCCATCCGGATCACAGTTCTCGTCCTGTGCGTGGGTGAATACGAGAAATAGGCAGTCAGAGAATCCGAAGGCTCAGCTGCGTTTTCCTCTCAAACGGCCTTGCAAGTGCTGATGGATGCCGTGCAATCATTACAGAAGTGCACTCTGGGAATCGTGCAAACCCAGAAGAAACACTTGAATGTAATGGGTAGCGGCACACAGACTAATTTACTTACTGGATAAGAGGACAACAACAAAACTAATATATTTTTATTTGTTAAGGATGTGGATCACCAGAAGTTGTCAGGATTATTATTGGGTATTGCGGTCTAGTTTCGCAGCTGTTCTTGTCTCAAGGCTGAGATGACTGTTCTCATTCCTGTACAATAACAATCTCAAGCCTCGTCCAGACAGAATACCTTACATGGTTAGAACAACACTGCCAAAGCTAAGTGTTAGCTGAAGACAGAGCTTAAGAACACTTTATAATGTGCCAACGTGTGATTTTTAGACTATAAAAAGGCTGATTATTGCTACTCAAGGCTGTAGTTTGATTTTCATCAGAACAATTCGATGACATGTGTGGGTGAATATTTTGAAAGGTTTTTTATAATCATGCCTCCAAGGTAAATACTTTAAAGAGCTACTTGCCAAAATGGAGCATAAAAAAATGACTAATACATTTCGGAATAACTAATGTTAAAATCTTAAATGAACCACTATGCGTGGATGTGACATTTATGATATCAGTGTGTTATTGAGCACAGTAGAGTGCAACAGTGTCCACTCACTTTTTCAGTGGCCTTTCAGGAATTAGTTTTCCAACAGGGGTTTAAAGAAAGTCTAATTAGACATTTAAGAGTTAGAAGCCTAATCCCAAACCAAACAGCTACCAGGTGAACCACAAAAGGTGCATTACGAGGTGAATAACCAAAAAAAACCTTTTTGTTTTGAAAATCAGACAAAAAGACAAAGGCACAAAACTGTGTACTTAACAGCTTTAATGATGGAAAGAACTACAATCCCATGAAGCACTGCAAATGACAAATGAAATAAAAACAATGGATAAATATAAAACTATTGATTTAAAGGTTGATTATGTATACAGAAGCAATAAATGTAACATTTATTGCAAAATATGCCTGCATATATATATATATATATATATATATATATATATATATATACTGACTCATTTATATAATTTGCAATGTTTCAAGGGAGTGGGCGAGCACTAAAGAGTTATTGTGGAGCAGTTTGCTTGTCTTGATTCTCTGATTGGTGGAGCTTCTCTGCAGAACCATGGGTATTGTAGTTTTTCACAAGGAATTCCACTGTTAAACGATTATTTACAAAATAAGAAATAATGCGGTCTGACAGCTTCAACAGAAGCAACAACCTCAAAGCTCATAGTATAGGTTTGTCTTTGATTGTTTATAATTAATTTTTCCTACAGATAAATAAATCCAATTTTTACTTTTGCAAGCTGACAGTTACACTCTGTTGCGTAATCTAACTCTGAGATCTAAATCTAACATTTCTGCTATATTTGCTTTTCTAAAATAACTTAATATTCGCCCCCAATTCAATCGGTTTTAGGACGAGCTAGACATGTTCAAAAGAGAAGTTTTTCGATTCAACGAGTCGATTCAACTGAGTTAGAGAAGTGCAAGGGCCGATTAGTGAAATGATTCATTGAAAAATTCCGACTCAAAAGAGCGATTCGCTAAAAAGCGGCACAAACTTTAGAGTGTAAACATTATATTTCTAGCTACTTTAAACACAACCCGTTGTCTTTTCTTGTGAGGTTTTTAAAATATACCCTACACAAGAAACAGAGATGTTGACAGTGTTAACAAACGCCCATCCGTTGAAGGAGGGAATTATTTGGACTTCTGAAGTTATGGGGCAACTTGGGTAGCCTAACGTTAGCCTACTTTCAAGCGAAACGGTCATGACTAGATCAGCTGTTCAGTATTTAAGTACTTTTTTAGCTCAATCTACCTTCTTTCGCCTTTTTTCTCCTGGCCAGAGTCCCACCAAGTTTTCCCAGAAATGAGTCATCTTTCTTTCTGGAGGACGGAGACTTTGGAGTTGGCGACTTGGGAGAAGACGGAGATTTCTGCGGGGAAGAAGCCATCAGTAACAGTCAGGGGCAGAAAAGTGTAAATAATATGTGATTTCCCCCGCTGAGAGAGTGCGTAAAATCCCAGGAACAGGAACGGAAACGGAATTCCAGCTATTTGCCCAGCCTTCTAAAACGAGCTTCCCTTTTCCTTTGATCCCACCCTCTTTCCTGAGGGAGACTGTTCAGAAAGTTATTCGTAGTGAGCTGCCATTATAGACTGCAATGCAATTACCGTATTACAGACTTGAGCTATAAAGAGCCAACTGTAAAATAATCCGTACAAAATTGAGATAAAAATCACTGATTTTGCTAATTTAATTAAATGTAAGATTCTTATATTTTTCAAAGGTAAAAATACAAATTTAGCATTTAATTTGTATATTATTTAATTTCGACTTGTATGCAAATAAGCATTTGACAAAATAATAAAACTACATTTATTTTATATAAACCGCAGAAAACAGGCATTTTGAAAATAGATATTTTTCTGTTCATATTTTATAAAATTCAGAAACTTAAATATTCTTACAAATATCTTTGTTAGTTTCCAAGGTTTTTTTGAAGAGAAAAGGAGAGCCCACTCATTGTTTTTACATTTATTAAATAAATTACACAAGGCAACAGACAGACAAGATTAAAACCAGATGCATTTGTAAATTTTCTTAAGCACTTCTTGATTCTTGAAACAATGACATTTGGTTTGACTTCAGAAATAGTTGATATTAAAGGTCACTTAAGATACCCTGTTCATTGCGAGATAGAAACAAACACTCAACAAACACACTTTACCACTGCCATTAAACTTTGGCATCTATTGGAATATTCGCTGAAGAACTAAACAAACATTCAATAAGAAATTTAACAAAACAGGAAGATAAATCAAACTAGTCAAATTACCTATATAAATACAATTGCACCAGTGTGAATAAATGTGTAGTCAGTCCTCTCACCCGTGCAACTTTGCGCTTGGAAATATTTTCAGTTAGTAAAGAGACACGTGTTTTGGTTTTAGGTTTATTTCTTTTGAAGAACACAAAAGGCAGCATTAAGTTGGGTTTGAATAAACAAGCGTATTGCAGTCTGTTCAAAATCTTCAAATAAGGCTCTCTCAGTCTAAAGTAGTTGTTCTCACAGAAGGAGTTTAGGTCCAGTGGAACTGATAGCCTCTGGACAGGATCATGCCCTCCAGATCTCGGTCCTCCGCTTTCTCCTTCAGCCGCTGTTCCTCCAGCAGACTGACCAGTTTATCTCTTCTCTCCACCACCTTCATGATCTCCACCAGCAGGCTCTGCTCCTCCGCCAGCTCGCTCGCACTCTTCTCGCAGTCTGGATATGGAGGGAATACAAAGACAAGGCCTATCATCAATAATCAAGTAAAATATTGTCCACATAACATAACATTTTCGCCATGTAACAAGGTTTAATCGCTTTTGAATAACATCATATATTTGTATGATAACCATAATTATTACACAATGACACCTCTGTGTTCTGTGGCTCAACGCTGCATGTCTCAGTGGTAAACGGTGAGCTTCACCACCACGAAGAACTAAAATAAACTTGTGTTTGCCGGAGGCTGAGGGACCAACCATTGACTTGCAAATGAAGACACTATCACCTTCCTCTGCTGATATCAATTCCTGTTCACAAGTATTGTAAATGCGCTTCCACTTACAATGTTTTCACTCTAACAAACCAATTATCTAATCCAATATCCGAAAAGTTGGTCCACAGTCCGACCTAAATGTTTTCACATTTAATGTGGAATACACCTAAAGATGACAACCTTCCAGTTACCGGATTCTGTAACCACTAGTTATATATATATATATATATATATATATATATAGTAACGAACCCACCTTCAGTGTTCATTCGCCGTCTCATGTCTTGCTGTAGCCGACTTTGAGTGTCCTCCAACTCCAGTTCTTGAGCACTAGGGACAAGAGCATGTATAAGATTTGTATAGAAAGCTTGATAAAAATCTAGAAGAGTCACAGTACTCACAAGATCATGAGTTCAGACTCATATCTGGACAGTTTGTTCTTCTCCAGGACCAGTTTGAACCAGGTTTGTAGAAGCGCGGTCTCATCTGTGGAGTCGTCACCTGTGAACACGAGATAGACCAGAATTGACTGAACATTTGCATCTGCTAGAACACAACTAACACTACTCAGCCCTGTGATGTTGCCAACTTTTAATACGATTAGAATTTTGAACATTTGATTGACGGTGTACGATATGAGTCTCAAGCTTCAGATGAAAAATGTCCACATAATTAACATAAGTCCTTTTCCAGGCATTTGTGATTACTCTAAAAAAATTTATTATAAAGTGGTGGCCAAAATTATTAGAACGGTAAGATTTTATAATGGTTTTAAAAGAAGTCTCTTCTGCTCACCAAGGCTTCGTTTATTTGATCCAAAATACAGCAAAAACAGCAATATTGTGAAATATTTTTACAATGAAAAATAACTGTTTTCTATATGAATATATTTTAAAATGTAATTTATTCCAGTGATCAAAGCTGAATTTTCAGCATAAAAAAAAAACTGACCCCAAACCTTTGAACGTTTGTTATAATGTTATAAAAGCTTTCCATTTCAGATAAATGCTGTTCTTTTGAAGTTTCTATTCATCAAATAATCCTGAATTATTTTTTATACAACTGTTTTCAACATTGATAATAATAATAAATGTTTCTTGAGCATCAAATCATCATATTAGAATAATTTCAGAAGGATCATGTGACACTGAAGACTAATGAAGCTGAAAATTCAGCTTTACCATCACATAAATAAATTGCATTTTAAAATATATTCAAATAAATTATTTTAAATTGTAAAAATATTTCACAATATTACTGTTTTTGCTGTATTTTGGATCAAATAAATGAAGCCTTGGTGAGCAGAAGAGACTTCTAATAAGAATTAGACGTTCTAATCATTTTGACCACCACTGTACGTGTATGTATGTATATGTATATATATATACACACACACACATATACAAACACACACACAGCATATACTATTAATAAATAAAACATAATATTATTTTAATATATTATGTTTTATTTATTAATAGTATATACTGTGTGTGTGTGTGTGTGTGTTTGTATATGTGTGTATATATATACTCACAGTATATATACACATAGTAAACTATTTTATAATATTCAAATACTAATAAAATAAAACGATAAAAAAATAAAAAAAAGTATTTTAAAATAAAGAATTTATGGAGACTGTCCTTGCACAAAGCAATTTCTATACATTATAAATATTGTTGCTTACATTAATACTAAATTGTAGCTAATTGTCTAATGAATGTTAGTCTCCCACATTGCCAGTTTCAGAGCGTTGTTTACTACATACTTCCACTCTCCATCCATTTGGAGGCCGCAAATGTCAGTTAACAAAGAACCTATTCATCAAAAAATGCACACCCCACAGCCCCTCATCTTAACACAATTATCCTGACAAAGACACGTAAACATGCCGAACAATGGATTGTGGCAGGTCACAAAAGATTCACCCCCATGCATTTATTAATAGAATTCTGCTGCCCTCAATGAAGTCTGTTGATAGAAGACACACTGTATCCTTGCTGTCCACTTTACAAAAGGGACGTCTTCCACAATGCTACAAGGATGCAGGCGGTATAGAAGACAGAGACAGAGGCCAGGCCACATGACATATACTTAAAGCAAAAGATTTGCTTTCTTTATGCAATAATAGTATGGAAACCTTCAACTATCTAGGAATAAAGTATTTCCTAGTGCATTAGTAGTTTCATTCGGTTTCTTAATATCTAACAATGCCTGTCTAGGTTTTAGGATGTCAAAAAAGGAATTTCTATGAGGAAGCAGGAGAAATGGATTTCTAGGAGATGTTAAAATTCAATTTGCAGACCTTATAATTAGAGCTTAGAGCTTTCAAAATATGATTATAAACTCATTATGCAGTATGTTAAAAGGCTGCTGCGATTTGGCTTTTTTCATCGGAACGACTTGTTGCCTTTAATAATCCCCACGTAGATCAACATTCACCGAAATAATGAAACATCACATTTTCAGCTCATTTCGGAGGCACTTTTCCCTTTCTAGGCCTATTTACAGAACCCATTACCTCTGCAGTCATTTCAATATAATATTTGATTCTAAATGGCCATTTAGTTTGAATGCAAATCACTATTATTTGAATCTCTAATTTTCCTCCTCTAAAAAAAGTCAGTTTATTTGCATTTGTTGTCTTTGTGTATATGCCATATAGATCCGGGGCTAGTCTTCACGTAGTATTTATGTTGTGGTTCAAAATCTTTCTATGGACAATCACAATGCATTGACAATACATACACAATAAAATAAAACATTAATATAGAAACAATTCATATATATATATATATAAACTCAGCAAAAAAAGAAACGTCCTCTGACTTTCAACTGTTTTTACTTTCAGTAAACTTAATGTGTGTAAATATTTGTATGAACACTAAAAGAGTCAACACCATAAGACATAAACTGAAAATGTTTCACAGACATGTGACTAACAGAAATAGAATAATGTGTCCCTGAATGAAGGGAGGCTCAAAATCAAAGTACCAGTCAGTATCTGGTGTGGCCACCAGCTGCTTGAAGTACTGCAGTGCATCTCCTCCTCATGGACCTGACCAGATTTGTCAGTTCTTGCTGTGAGATGTTACCCCACTCTTCCACCAAGGCACTAGCAAGTTCCTGGACATTTCTGGGGGGACGGGCCCTAGCCCTCACCCTGCGATCCAACAGGTCCCAGACGTGCTCAATGGGATTGAGATCCGGGCTCTTCGCTGGCCATGGCAGAACACTGACATTGCCGTCATGCAGGAACTCACGCACAGAACGAGCAGTATGGCTGGTGGCATTGTCCTGCTGGAGGATCATGTCCGGATGAGCATGCATAAAGGGTACCACATGAGGGAGGAGGATGTCTTCCCTGTACCGTGAGGCATTGAGATTGCCTGCAATGACAACAAGCTCAGTCCGATGGTGATGTGATATACCGCCCCAGACCATGACGGACCCCCCACCTCCAAATCGATCCCGCTCCAGGGTACAGGCCTCGGTGTAACGCTCATTCCTTCGACGATAAACACGAATCCGTCCATCACCCCTGTTGAGACAAAACCGTGACTCATCAGTGAAGAGCACTTTTTGCCACTCCTGTCTGGTCCAGCGAAGGTGGGTTTGTGCCCATAGGCGGCGTTGTTGCTGGTGATGTCTGGTAAGGACCTGCCTTACAACAGGCCTACAAGCCCTCAGTCCAGCCTCTCTCAGCCTATTGCGGACAGTCTGAGCACTGATGGAGGGATTGTGTGTTCCTGGTGTGACTCGGGCAGTTGTTGTGGCCATCCTGTACCTGTCACGCAGGTGTGATATTCGGATGTACCGATCCTGTGCAGGTGTTGTTACACGTGGTCTTCCACTGCGAGGACGATCAGCTGTCCTTCCTGTCTCCCTGTAGCGCTGTCTTAGGCGTCTCACAGTGCGGACATGGCAATTTATTGCCCTGGCCACATCAGCAGTCCTGATGCCTCCCTGCAGCATGCCTAATGCACGTTCACGCAGATGAGCAGGGACCCTGGGCATCTTTCTTTGGGTGTTTTTCACAGTCGGTAGACAAGTCTCTTTAGTGTCCTGCGTTTTTAGAACTGTGACCTTAAATGCCTACTCTCTGTAAGCTGTTAAGGTCTTAACGACCATTCCACAGGTGCATGTTAATTAATTGATTATGGTTAATTGAACATGCATGGAAAACATTGTTTAAACCCTTTACAATGAAGATCTGTAAAGTTATTTGGATTTTTACAACATTATTGTTGAAATACACAGTCCTGAAAAAAGGACATTTCTTTTTTTGCTGAGTTTATATATATATATATATATATATATATATATATATATATATATATATATATATATATATGTAAATACAATTATACATATTTTTTAATATTATAACATTTTATATAAAAATTAAAAATTAAAATATTAAACTAAAAAAGAAAAAGAAAGATCTTATTGTATGCAAGTCATCAAATCAATCTAAGAAGAGAAACAGGAAGTCCACACAGAGACACCCTATCAAGTCACTCCCTGCTGACTTCCTGTGCGACATATGAAATAAACAGGGTAAAACAAAAACATAATAATGAATTCAAGAACAAGTCTATGGAATAAGGTTGTGAAATCTTGTTCGCGACTGCAAGTTTGCATGCTTGATAGGCCGACAGCATTGCGTGCTTCATTTGTATAGCTGTCAGCAACCGAAATGAAAGTCTTAAGTGTCATAACACCCCTTTAAATAATCATATCACCATCACAAAGTGAGTGGGTGGAGACGGGGGACATGTAAGGACAATGGGACTGATAATGAGGCATTTTAAATAATATATTTCCAGATGTAATAATGTGTGACTGTGTTTAAATATTCCGTACCAGTTTCTCCTCTGAGGACCTTCTCCAGAGCCACACCTCTCTCCTCCAGAGCTCTCTGCTTCTCCTCTACTTCCTCCAGTTGTCTTTGGATTACCTGCCAATCACACCAGACAACCCGAATATACATTGAGGAACTGGAATATATGCAATTCATATGCATGTTTCTAAAGCAGCCATGTTTTGCAGTGAAATTTATGGGAAAATGTCCCCAGAAAGAGGATAAATCTGACAAATCCTCAAAGAGCAGTTCATAAATGTGATTCTAAAAATGCAAAAATAAGTCTTATGCTGAACAAGGGTTATCATCACTCTAGCTTGATATTTATTAATTACATTTATTTGAATACAGTAGCACTCTGGTGACTCATTTAGTTGTATAAATGTGTGTGTGTGTGGCATACCTGAGCCCTGTGAAGTCTTTTCAGCTGATCTCTCTTGGTTGGTTGGACTGCGGTTTTCTCCTTTTTCTTCTGTGAGGTGCCACTGTGGGTCTTTATAGCAAATAATGAGCAAAAAAAGTAAAGGTTCAAATTGGGCTTTCTGTTTGAAATTTGTAGAAGATTCCACACAGAGTTGGAATAACATTAGTTGTTTCTTTAGGAGAAGTGTTGAGAAGCGATGTTTACCCTTTGTGAGTCTGGGTCATGTTCCTCCTCACTGGATGAGTTGGACTCCTGTTGCTGTGGTTGCGGAGCAGAAGCTGTGGATACAATTTTAAACAATAATTTAGGTCAAGGGATTTATCAGTCAATACCTAAATAAACAAATAAGAGCAGATTGAAACGACGACAACAAAGTGTTAATTATTGTAGGTGAAGGCACATTTAAAAATGTAGTCAATCAATCAAAATAAACCAACGTCCAATGATAATAATAAAGGCCAACACAAACTGTCATAAAATATAAAGTGAAAATATCTTGAGCTTGTTTTAACCACAAACCTTATTTCATGCATTTAACCAAAAACCCATTGACTTCAGGACGATAAAATCGGAACTTTCTTCCGGGTTTTAGCCTACAAAAGTATGTCCTCCCTGCAGCACTCTATAATGTTATGCTGAATATGAATGTACTTGAATCAGATTTGTGCATCAGAATCGATCCATTGTTTGAAATTACATTTATGAAACTGTATCACTATACCATCAAAACATTGTGCTGCCAACAACGTGGAATGAATATAGTTTTTGATACATCACAAGATTAAAGTGCAGTGCTCCACAGTTACCTGACTATTGCATGCAGGGAATATAATGAAAGCTGGTGGGAGATTATAATACAAGAGATAACGGTGCTGCATATAATAACAATGAAGTTAACACAAGCAGCGCGATGCGTTTGTGCATGTGACTTATCACTTGGAAATGAGGAGCGTGTGAGAACGAGTGCTGATGTTAATCGTCTAGGGTCAAGAACACACTAGATTTATTTAAAGCTACACTATATAACTCATGCAAGTCCCTTTAGCAATTAAAAATAAATAAAAAGTGCATGGATCTTGTGGAAGAACATTGTTTTTTTATTTTATTCTACCTCTTACACTTTGTGCTTTCCTTATTATATTTACTGATTTTAAACCACTTTTAAACTGCAGAAAAGCATCAAAGATCCCTTTAACCTGCAATTACCTTTGCTTCTAAACCTGGAAAGAATGGTCAAGATGTCTTTCTGGTCGTCTCCTTTGCTCTTATCTGCTCCTTCGCTCCTCTTAATGCGCAGGGAGGAGAAGAAATTGAGTTTTCTGGGCGGTAAGGAGGCCATGTCATCTTTTGTGCCCTTCTTGGAGCCGAGAGCCACCTGCTCCAGTAACGTCGTGAGCTCGCTTCCAGTCCTCGCTCTGGACTGACTTTCGTCCGTAGACGTGCAGCTGTGTTCCTCCTCCTGGCTGCCGAGCAAGCCACTGAGGTTGAAGGAGCCCTCAGACAACGGCCGAGCTTTCAAAGGCCGGTTTCTCCTGAGGACCACAGGGTTGCTCCCTTTGCTGGCGGAGAAGGACTTCCGGAGACTGTTGGCCCACTGTTGGAAGCCGAAGAGTGGAGGAGTGGGCTCGGGTTGGGGACGGCTTGGTTTCGGTGGAGCTTCTGGTTCTGGTTGATCGTTTCGAGGATTCGTAGAGGTCCTGTCATGTTGTTCCCCTTCAGAAGTTGAGGGCTTTCCAGGTGTGGTTAATTCCCAGTTGAGCAGCTTCTCCTTCTCGGATAAAGACAACGTGAGCTTCTTCTTGGGGCTGAAGGAGTTCGCCTCTGAGGGAACGGCTGGGACGACAGGCTCTGGAGAGGAAGTGCTGGGTTTTGGGGTTTCAGGATGAAAATGTGCACGATATAGAGGGATCTTTGGGATCTCATCAAGAGCTGTTGAGTTCTTGTCCTCCAGTAGGGGGCAGTCAGACTCTGTAGTCTGTGTTGCAGGCTTTGTTGGGGAGAGCTGTGTGAGAAAAGACTATCTTTAACAGCTCATGGATATAGGAACTTAAGAACAGTGACATATCAAACAATTTATACACTGTTTTGGCAATTTAGTCCAAGAAACCACCTAATAGCTGGATGCAATGACTGATCATGATAGACGCGATGACACAAAATGATAGACAAAAAAAGAGAATGAAAATGTGTTTACAGATTCATGGATCTCCTCAAAGTCTGAGTCTCCATCTTCCTTGCCGGGGGCTTCAGTTTTATCGTCTGGTTTTCCACGGTGAAATTTCTTAAGCAGGACGAGGGGAAGGGCTGGGTGAGGAAATTATGCCACAAAAGAGCTTTGAGAAGTGATCACAGATCTAATGCACATTATTAATAGCAATATAAAACATGAATAATGGTTAAATGAATAGATTCTACTACTACTAATAATAATGCTATCTATGTTGAGAAATGGCTACCTAGCTTAAAAATGTCTGTACAGCACCAGCACAATTTTTTCATAGCTAAATTCATAATACATTTTTGTTGTTATTAAATCACATAACAAATAATAACTCAGTGTTTTTTTTTTTTTGGAAACAGTACATAGTTATAAATGAATAAAGTTAATAAAACAAATGAATTTTAAATATTATTAATCATACTCTATGTTGAGAAATGGCTACCCACTTTAAAATGTCTGTACAGCACCAGCACAATTTATTTCAGTGCTAAATTAATACATTTATAATTTATTATTATTATTCATCATCACCATTGTTGTTGTTAAATCATGTAGCCTAATAATAATACTTCAGTATCTTTAAAAAAAATGAGAAACAATAGTGAAATTCATAAAATAAATACAAATAATTTTTAGTTATTATTATTACTAATGTTGTTAAATCATAATTATTTTATAATTTAATTGTTAACTTAAAGAATGATAATGACAATAATAGTGATCATTATATAATTTTAATTCTTATTATCCAATAATGGTTAATTACTCTCAGAATTTTAAATTATCTATTTTGGCCAAGTTATACTTGCAAGGAATCTGACATTGTAAACGATGGCTAAATTATGCTAATAACTACATATTATAGTGCAACACTCAAAATTTGCAGACCAGATTGTAATTGCTCTTGTATCGTCTGAATCAATAGCGGTGAAACAGACCAGCAGCGCCCTCTAGAGAAGAGGGTGGATATGACCAGCATCAAAAAAAAAAAAAAAAAAAAATGGTTTTACGTGAAGTTGTCACAAACTATTTCTATAATGGAGCCTTCAGAGTTCAGTTATTTACTTCAGAGCTAAATATAAAGAAATTGAGCTCTAATAATGAAGAACACGTGTTCAGGGTGACCAAAAGCAGCATTAGCTTTTATAAATAGAACATGTATGACGCCTGATATTAATCCAGTGAGGATTAACAAACACATGAATTCAGAATCAGATTCGCGCACGTGTCGCACCTGACATCACAGCCACTACAACAAGCAAGGTTAAGCGTTCAGTCGAGACACAGAGTCTCTGAGCTCTTCAACAACCTTGAGCAGAAACATAACAAGTACATAGAAACTCAACTATAGGTCCTATAGTTTAAGATCGTGGCTGACAACACAAAACACTTCTGCTGTGGTCGAAGGTTCCCATGGAACACTGGAAGAATGATACTTACTGGATCGAATTTTCTTCCTCCAGAGGTTGTTTTTGTTGGTCATTTCTCCTTTTGCAGTGGAGTGTTTAACTGATGAAAAGAGGACAACAGAATGAACGCTTAAAGTGACATTGATCATTTAATAACATTAACCTCATTCAAAAGACACTATTTAGAATAGCTCACTATTCTATAGTTCCACTAATGATGGCTTAAGTGTGTAAAATCAACACTTTTGAGCTAGTAAATTATGTATAAATTAAAGGGACGGGCCCTTGGATATTTGACTTATACGTGTCCAAAAACATTTTGGAGCCATTGTAAAAGGCAATATTATGAGATACTGTGAAATAGTAAAAATGTGAGAAAGATATAACTAACATGAGCTTTTCACTGACCTTTCTGCAGTTGAGAATCGAGACATGCGGGAGCAGAATCTGCAGGATCGGGCTTTTTAGATGAATCTTTCACTTCACTACAAAAACATGCACATAAAAGGCATGAAGTAATTAGACGGGATGTTTTTAGCTTTCACACAAATTATAATTTTAAAATAATTATTATTAATGAAATGTTTTTTTATCTTGATTAAAATAAATCAATAATACGTTAGAAGTAATAATAAATAGGCCTAATAATATTAATTATAATTAATAAGTTAAAAATGTTCATGATAAAGTGGAAATAATGAAATTAGAGTATCTCTCAGTCTCATATGGGCCGTCAACACACGTGACTAGAGTATACAAGTCTACATTTCACAGCTCCTCGTCATGGTAAAGGATTAGACATTGACATCTGTCGTGAGTATTCTGACCCGACCTCGTGTTGATGAGCTCTGTTGAGTCTGACAGGGCCGTCACCTCTGTCCTCTCAGCCGGAGCGCTGGGCTTCCACAAACACTGGCGACTTCTGGAGTCGGACTCGGCTCCTGCGGGGTCCACGCACACACACGACACACTCCATTCAGAAACCGGACTTCTGCTATCATGCGCTTTATGTTGAGAAATGACTACGTACCTTGTACATCACCAGCACAACAACTAATAATAAAAATTATAATTATTAATAATACATTTATTAATTTAATTACTAAATTTGTATTGGTATTATTATTATTATTAATACCACATAAATAAATAAAATTAGCTTTTTATTATATTATTACTATTATTATTATTATTAGTAGTATTATCATCAATACTGAATAAAAATAATAAATTGATGAGAAATTCATAATAATAATAATACATTCATTTAATTACTTTATTAATTTTATTAATTAATAATGATAATAATAATAAAATGCTATCTTCAAATCTATTATTTTAATTAAGTTACTTTATTATTATTATGAACAATAATACATTACTTTATTAACATCTTTATTATTATTATTACAACATAACCTTCAATTTAATTTAGTTACTTTATTATGTGGTAATAATAATAATAATAATAAATGATGTAAATTTAATAAAGTAAATTAATAACATTTAAAATGATAATTTAATTTGTATATGGTATTATTATTATTTTTATTAATAATATGATTATTATTATTATTAATGTTATTATATACCACATACATGTCCCTAGAAGAGAACAATTTCTAACTAATTTTTAAGTTACAGGCAGACTTTAGTTGATGACTATTTCAATGGCTTGAAAAAGCTGAATTCCTGTTTGAATGACAGTATAAGGTATTTGAAACTTTCATTAGATGATGATATGTGAAAATATCCCTAAATATGAACTAATTTCTCATCTGTTATTTAATGTTAAACAGATATTATAACCTTGAGGGACATGATGCTTTACAGTAGTTTTTATCTTTCACTATTTAGCGCACTCTTTCCCTCTAATACGCTCCATGATCATCATTCATGTATATGATAATGCACTCAATACTGCATTTGTCTGTCAAATGAGTTAAAGACATTTAGCAGGAGGTCTTTGAAGATGTTTTCATTCATTTTTGACCCTGTGAATCTTTATAGAATAAATAAATAAAAAAGGATTTGCAATTTACTGTAGGTTTTAAATGAGCAAAATTCCTGAAATTCATGAAAATTCATGGATATGAATAAATTAAATTAATTTAACCCCCATGCTCTGTTTGAGGTGCAAGAGACGCAAAGATAATTTAAGAGCTCAATAAATATACATTTGTGTGTCAGGTTATAAAGGTATATTTTCTCATTTTTCAAAAGTACTGTATTATCAAGTCAACCTCAACAGAACATGAAGGTTAAAAATGTTCATGATTATTCTGTATCATTTGAGTTCAAAATAGGAGGCAATGCACTACCCAAAAGAAGATAAAAGGAAAGGATAGAAAAGACCCAAAAGAACCAAGTTGAGTTGGACTATACAAAAATTCAGACATAATTTGAAATGGGTCTGATGTATGTACCAAAAAAAAAAGAAAAAAAAAGATTTGACGTTCCAATGCTTTAAATCGTGGGATGTGAAATTAAAAATTGTGGGGGAAAAAAATTGGGGAGGGTTGTGTATGTGAATGTGATATATTTAGCACAGGGTTAATGGAGCGCTGACCTGTGATAGTGTTGCATTTCATATTAATTGCTTGGCAGCAAAATATTTGTATAGAATTTTTCATCACTGCACTGATGAATACAAACACTTTGGGACGGCTGTGGGTTACACAGGAAGCTCAGTGAATCGTAGACAAAAAGGCAGAAACAAACTTTTAGAGTTAAAAATGGATTTATTTTAAGCGTACAAGTTTTAAATATATTATAAATTAAGATAAACAGTCTTTCATTGTGAAATGTACAAGAAACAGTAAGCTAAAATTTACAAAAAAAAACAAAACAAAACAAAAAGGACTTTTAAAATTGTGCAAAACTAAAGTCTTCTTATATAACGACCTCAGTTTGTTTTTTAGGAAAAGGAACAAGAAAGTGGTCTTACATGGGATTGGGATAGTAAAGCAGCCTCTGCAACAGAGAGGACAAAACACGGAGAGAAAGAAGGGAGGTTACTTTACGGGACGCGGTGAGCTAGAAAAAAACAAGTGCATTCAAAAAGCATGCTGGGATAGTCGAGCGTTCAAGTGCACTTCTGTTAGTATGTTAGCTCTGGGTACAAACAAACGCAATCCCGTCTTTCTGTGAAGGACTGTGATGTTTGTGACGCTTAAGAAGTGTTCATACATTAGACCCATGCTGGCTGCATTCACAATAATGGGGTTATTATTATTATTATAGGTCAAGGAATATGCAGGGAGCCAGTGCGAAGCGAAACAACCTGATCACCTGACCCATGCAGGCCAATCGCGGTCCTGCTCTCACGGTTCAGCCAATCAGGGGTTGGAGCATTGGAAACTTGAAACAGACTATATATGATGTGGGACAGGATGGGAAGAATGAAATATGAAGAGAAAGAAGGAAATTGAGAGATAAATAGCACTAAAATCATTGGTGAATTTTCCAAAAGAACTATAATTATGCATATTCAGTACACTTAGACACTGATAAAACAGTGAAAAAAAAACAAAAAAACATTTTAAAGCTTTACACCACACATTTAGGGGGAATGTTTGAACACCAATTGATTAAACAATTGAAGTCGCCCTCTTCACGGTGATCCCGAAGGACATCTCCTCCACTTTAACATTAGAATAATCTATGCATTTCACCAATAACGACTATTTGCATTACATCACAAAGAAAAAACAAAACACAAAGTTTAAGTAGTTGTACCCAAAAAGGCTGTAAACTACAAAAATAGTGAACATTTCAACAAAAAAAAAAAAAGATAAAGGCTAGATTATGTCCTCATTAACAGTCATCAAAATGCATTTTAATTCTGTTTGGCATTTCCATTGCACATGAGGGGATATGCAAACCTTAACGTTGCAGTAACGTTAACCGGCAGTTTCAGGCAGTTAGGATGAAGCGGCAAACCCTTCAGTAAAGTGCTCTTAGTTTATCAGCTTTGGATCTTATGTTTGTCAATCAGATGAATATACGAACACTGAATGATTCTTAAACCCTGTAGGCCAATGAAGTTGCAGCTTAAAGGGACAGTTCACCCAAAAAATGACAATTGTGTCATCATTTACTCACTCTCTTGTCATTCCAAACCTGAATTACTTACTTGCTTGCTTCTTCCACTGACTGCATTGTATGTACAAAAACACTTTTGTGTTTCACAGAAGCAAGTCAAACAGGTTTGAAGCGACATGAGGGTGAGTAAATGACAGAATTTGAATTTTGGGTGAAGCGTCTCTTTAAGATGTTTTCGTACAAATCACAAAAACTGTAATATAGGCAAATAAACTAAGCATGGCAGTGTAAGGACTGAGCCGGTCTACAGAGTTTAAGAAGCCCCTTCCCTCGTCAGTCCAGCAGTACCGAAGCCCCTTTAAGAGAGTGGGATCCCAGGCACCGCTGGAGTGACTACATCATGCTCACTGGGGAGGGAGCGACGGCCTCTCGGCTCATCTGGGCCGTGATCTCATGCAGCACGTACATGAAGGGCACACCCAGACTCAGCAGCTCATAAAGGAATACATAGTCCTCCTGGCGCTCTCTGATGTGTAGCCCTACGGCCCGGGCCGCCTTAAACATCCAGCGGGCAAGCTGGCGGGGGGAACCGAACAGTGTGCGGCCCACGTGCAGTGGCCAGTGCAGACTTTTCCTAATAAGGGAAGTCAGGGTACCTGAGGGCTGGCCGCGGAGGCCGTCGGTGGCCGTGTAATCTGAGCTAGCGCTGGACGAGGGTCTGCTGCCTCCGTTGATCTGTGTGGTGATGTAAAGAAACAGAAGAGGAGAGTCACATTTATTTACATAAATTATGCTGTGTTTATGTAACACAGCATAATACATAAAGATAATATTTTCATTTAATAATAATAAAAAAATAACATGACTGAATTATTCATTATAAGCTATTATTATTATTATTAACAAATCTAGATGATTATTTTCATTAATAAAAAAATAAAAAATAAACAACTAAAAATTACATAAAATGACAATATTATGTGTTATGCTGGTATTATTTATAATAATAGTAAATGATAAAGCATAATAATGATATTTTCATTTTATAATAATGATAAATAATAAATGATAATTATAATAGCAACATGACTGGATAATAATACATATTAGTAATTATAATAATAATAATAATAATCTAGATTTGTTAATATTAATAATTATTAAAATCACATTAACAACAATAATTAGTGTTCACTTAAATGTCATAAATTTTGTGTGCGCCTCATTTGCTATTAAACACAATAAAACAACTAAAATGATGCTGCGATAATGTAAACAAAACCATTCTGCTTTGACCATTACCACAACATAGTTCTGATCACAGGATTCTAAAGTCAAATATTTTGTATAATGAACTCTATAACTGACTGTTGTCGATTTAAAAACACATATTGGCTGACCACATCCATTTAATCAAATATATTATTAATATTACCTCTCCTCTTCGATGCCTACTGCTGATCTTTTGCTGAGAAAAGTGCAGCTTGCAGTAAAAAGTGCCTGCAAGAAAACGACAATAGTGAACCATCTTCTCCATTCAACACTACGGCAGTCTAATGAATAAAAATGTCATTATAAATGCAATCCTCACGAATAACACACCTTGGTTGGAGTCAAAGGCATGAGCGCCCAGACGCAGTGTGCAGCCGCAGATGTTACAGCGGAAACACTCTCTGTGGAAGAAGAATCCCTCCGCACTGAGGCGCTCCATGATATACACACGCTTCTTACAGAAGTGACATGTGTCGCTGCCGCCCAGACCCTGAGGAAACTCCTTTCGCATGCTCGTCTGAAACACAACAGCGTCTATCAGATCATGGGGAAGCAACATGTTGCTGTTACAATACTGTTCACTGTACAAAACAGTGTACAAGTGGTACAATTTAAAAAAAAAAGAATAAGGGATACAACAAGAGGAAAAAAAAGAATAAATAAAATAAAACAAAAATAAATAAAACAATAAATAAATGGCATGCTGACGTATTTTGCCATATTGCTAGCACTGATCAGCTGTTTTAATGGAAAATTAGGGCAAAACCTGCTAGGAAACCACTTAGTCCATGAAGTAAAAGTTCACAAATGATCACTTATTAGCATAAGTTCTAACTTATTAGCAGGTCAGTGCCACACTGTGCAATCACACAAGATGAAAAGGGCATAATAGTTAATCGGTCAATGCTTAAGCCAAAGCATGAAGTATTTTCCTGACAAAATGAGCCGAAAAGCTTTGTGCTTAGAGCCAGATACAAAAATATATTACCGCCCCAGATTCTGCACACCTTCTGGCCTCTATCTGTGGACAAAGACTCTCTTAACTACAGAAAACGTCACAAAGTTGTGGCCGTCAGCAAAAGAATATGCAGTTTATCCACTTTCTACAGATCACAAGATTTAAACATCAGTTTACATTAACAAAACCTGAGAAATTAAAGAAAAACACATGATGTTGGCCTACATCCTGAGGCTGTAACTTAAGCAATACAGACTGAATCTTTGTTGGGAACATGAAATCACTTCTGATTCACATTTATAAAAAATTAAATAAATACACGAACATCAAGGCTTCTCTTTATATTTGCGGATTCTGCAGCCTGAAGAAACAACCGTATCTCTGTCTTAAACATGGTCATCTTGTCCCGGGACGGAAGGTGCTTACCAGCGAGAGGGTAAAGGGGTTGTTAGGTCTGTGATCGGTCTCATATAAGATGGCCAATGTAGCGGCTTTAACCCCAATGGCAGAGGAAACCTTCCCCACTGTTCTCTAGCAATCAGTAGTGAAGGAAAAGAGAAAATAGAAAGTAAATGCAACTGCAAATCAGTGAAAGGTGAAGAAAAGGGGAAAAACTATAGGGAAGAGTGATTTTTGTTGTCACTGGACTACGTTTAACAGCTTGAATACCTGTTTGGAGGAGTCCAGGCACTCTACACGTCTGATTTCAGAGCGATCTGCGTGTTTATCGTGGTTCAGCTGTGTTTCTGGATCTTCACTGCACTATACAACCAATGGGAAAATGCCTTTCAGCATCACTTACTTTCAGGCTTTAAAACACACTGATCTCTGTGACTCGAAGCACAGTCTGTGTTCCAGTCGAAAACAGGAGAGCTCCTGAAATGACCAGTATCAGTAGAATCATGATGTTTTACCTGCTCGTGTTGGACTGAAGGAACAGGAGACAGAAGACAAGACCGAGTAGAGCATTCTGTGATAGTGTGGACTGAGAAAGGAGAAGGAGAAGAAGAAAGCGAAGGAGTTTCATCTGTCTGTGTGAGGAGAGCAGAAGAGCAGAAAGACGAAGAAGAAGAAATAAAGCATTACAATCTCCAGATTATTCAGGCACTGAATGCAAGATGACAGAAGGGAAGGACAGATATTTAATAATAATAATAATAATAATATATTGTAAATATTGATATTACACTACTACTACTAATAATAATAATAAATAAACTGATTGATTTGTTGTTATTATAAGTAGTGTAATAAAATAATATATGTTGTTATTATTACTACTACTACTACAAATAATAATAAACAATAATAACAATAAAAATCAGCTATTATTGTAGCTAATTTTACAGTATTATATTTATTTTTTGTAGATAATTAGTATTATATAAAATATTTGTTGTTAAAAAATTACTACTAATAGTAGTGATAATAATGATAATAATATTATTATGTTGCCAATATTGAAATTACAGTCATATTTATTGATATAATACATATATAAATAAACACCAATACTAATAATAATGATAATAACAACTGATTCATTAGTAGTAGTGTAACAATAACTACTACTACTAGTGTAGCTAATATTGAAATAATAGAGTATGACTTTAAATATGTATTATTTTACATACAAACTACTACAATAAATAATAATACTAATTAGTGGTGCTTGCCTATGGCAAAGCAACACTAGTGTTATTGTGCATACTTATTATTCTTATTCTTCTTATTCTTCTTATTAAGTTGGCTTGTGAGAGCCAACTTACTGATATTGTACTTAAACTTATTAAGTTGGCTTGGAGAGCCAACTTACTGAAATGCTATTTAAACTTATTATTATTATTATTATTATTAAGTTGGCTTGTGAGAGCCAACTTACTGATGTTGTATTTAAACTTATTATTAGTGGTGCTTGCCTATGGCGAAGCAACACTATTGTTATCTCACATACTTATTATTATTCTTCTTATTATTATTCTTCTGGCCACTTTTTGACGCGCTACTCCTCCCGCAGTTTTTGTCACAGACCCATGAATGAGGTGTCAAAACGTGCGGCCTGTTCGGGAATGGTGTGCTATGACTTTTCTAAGAGATCGGGGGTACGATGGTCGCCCCAGGGGCGAAAAACGGCCCAAAAAAATCCCATAGACTTAACATTGCGAAAAACTTTGACGAGTCATAGCTCAGAGTGTGAATTTCGCAGAAACGTGAAATTTGCCACATTTGAAGAGGCTGACAGACTCTGTAAGAACATACCACACAATGGGGTAAAAGTTGCACCCCTGGGGGGCAGGAGCTGCCCAAAGTTTCCCCATTGACTTACTATGGTGTAGGACGGCCCATGAAATGGGCCGTCCTACACCATAGAAACCGCTTTTATATTGAACATAACTCTGGATCACAGTGTCATAGAGACAAGGGGGCGGGCTCATTTTACTCAGACAACCAATCAGTCTCTCAGGATCATTGTGAAGCTATCAAGCCACGCCCTAGCAACCATTTAGAGCACCTTAGCAACAACTCCCATAGACTTCCATTGAAAGAGATCGAAGGGATATCTCTGGACTGAATTGTCATAGAAACATGAGGGTGGTCTCGTTTGACTCGGGGCAGCAAACAGCCAATCATGAATCACCTCAACACTTCCTAGCCACGCCCTAGCAACCATTGTCGAGCACCTTAGCAACCAAAATCCAATGAGGGATATCTTCCATTCTGAATGTCACAAAGGCGTGGGAGTTGGTTTATATCATTCATAGTGACAAGAAGCCTTTGGAGTTTCATGATTGGCAACTGCCAAGCCACTCCCTAGCAACCAAACAGAGTACCCTAGCAACCATTTTGCAAGACCAATATCTCTGCATCAGAACATCGTATAGAGATGGGGGTTGGTTTATACATTCACATTGACTTTGGAGCTTCATGATTGGCAGCTGCCAAGCCACTCCCTAGCAACCAAACAGAGTACCCTAGCAACCGTTTTGCAAGACCAATATCTCTGCATCAGAACATCGTATAGAGATGGGGGTTGGGTCTTTTGACTCATGCTAGCAAACAGGACTTGCTACATGCTACACATACTAGCAGTGAATAGCTACATGCTAATATTGATTAGCTAAGTGCTAAATCATGCCAATAAAATGCTACAAACTCAACAGTAACCATCTTTGACAACTACCAACCACCTAGTAACACCATAGCAACCACCCAAATTACCCTAGCAACACCCTAGCAACCACCCAGAACACCCTAGCAACTGCCTAGCAACGCCCTAGCAACCACCCAGAACACCCTAGCAACCGCCTAGCAACACCCTAGCAACCACCCAGAACACCCTAGCAACCGCCTAGCAACCACTCAAAACACCCTAGCAACCACCTAGCAACACCCTAGCAACCACCCAGAACACCCTAGCAACCACCCAGAACACCCTAGCAACGCCCTAGCAACCACCCAGAACACCCTAGCAACCGCCTAGCAACACCCTAGCAACCACCCAGAACACCCTAGCAACCGCCTAGCAACCACTCAAAACACCCTAGCAACCGCCTAGCAACACCATAGCAACCACCCAGAATACCCTAGCAACCGCCTAGCAACCGCACAGAACACCCTAGCAACCACCTAGCAACACCCTAGCAACCACCCAGAATACCCTAGCAACCACCTAGCAACACCCTAGCAACCACTCAGAACACCCTAGCAACCGCCTAGCAACACCCTAGCAACCACCCAGAACACCCTAGCAACCGCCTAGCAACACCCTAGCAACCACCCAGAATACCCTAGCAACCACCCAGAATACCCTAGCAACCACCCAGAACACCCTAGCAACCACTCAGAACACCCTAGCAACCACCTAGCAACACCCTAGCAACCACCCAGAACACCCTAGCAACCGCCTAGCAACACCCTAGCAACCACCCAGAATACCCTAGCAACCACCTAGCAACACCCTAGCAACCACTCAGAACACCCTAGCAACCACCTAGCAACCACCCAGAACACCCTAGCAACTGCCTTGCATCATCATAGCAAACTCCAACAACACCCTAGCAACCGAGCGGCGAGTTTTGCCACTGCAAGCACCACTTCACATTTTCTTCTGGAAATGTACATTCTAGTTATTATTATTATTATTATTCTTCTTACTCAAATTTACAACTCTAACTCCTCCTAGAGCTTTAACTCCACATACTCCAAACTCGGCACGGACACTCAAACTGTTCTGACTCGGTATGCTATATCTTTTCTAACTGATCGGACTTACGGTTTTCCTAAAAATGACGATCAAAGTCGGAAAAAACTCCCATTGACTTTACATTGCGGAATGTTCAGATTTTCAAACTCCCCAACTGTCAAAAATTCAAATGTAAATCCCTTGAAACCCTAGACTGAATCAAACTGCCATTCTATATACTATATGAGCCAATGAGACTCATTCAAACTCATAAACTCATATATCTATGACACTCATCTATCTATCTACTTTAAACTAAATTAAACTTCAAACTAAATTAAACTTTAAACTTCAAACTAATTTAAACTAATTTAAACTTCAAACTAATTTAAACTTTAAACTCATAAACTCGTACACTTATAAACTCATGAATTCATACACTTATGAACTCATAAATTAATAAACTCTGAACTCTTTCTCATTTAAACTTATAAACTATAACCTCATACACTTATAAACTCATGAAATCATACACTTATGAACTCAAACTCATAAATTAATAAACTCTGAACTCTTACTCATTTAAACTTATAAACTCTAAACTCATAAATTCATACACTTATAAACTCATGAACTTATAAATGCATTAATTCATACACGTATGAACTCTCATGAATTCATACACTTATGAACTTTTAAACTCATAAATAGTTCACCATAGCAAACACCCAGAACACCCTAGCAACTGCATAGCAACCACCCAGAACACCCTAGAAACCAACTGAAATACCTTAGAACACCCTAGCAACACCATAGCAACCACCCACAATACCTTAGAACACCCTAGCAACCACAAAATATACCTTAGAACACCCTAGCAACCACCCAGAACACCCTAGCAACCACCCAAAATACCTTAGAACACCCTAGCAACCACCCAAAATAACTTAGAACACCCTAGCAACCACCCAAAATACCTTAGAACACCCTAGCAACACCATAGCAACCACCCAAAATACCTTAGAACACCCTAGCAACACCCTAGCAACCACCAAAATACCTTAGAACACCCTAGCAACCACCCAAAATACCTTAGAACACCCTAGCAACCACCTAAAATACCTTAGAACACCCTAGCAACACCATAGCAACCACCCAAAATACCTTAGAACACCCTAGCAACACCCTAGCAACCACCCGAAATACCTCAGAACATCCTAGCAACACCCTAGCAACCACCCAAAATACCTTAGAACACCATAGCAACACCATAGCAACCACCCAGAACACCCTAGCAACCACCCAAAATACCTTAGAACACCCTAGCAACCACCAAAAATACCTTAGAACACCCTAGCAACCACCCAGAACACCCTAGCAACCACCCAAAATACCTTAGAACACCCTAGCAACACCCTAGCAACCACCCAAAATACCTTAGAACACCCTAGCAACACCATAGCAACCACCCAAAATACCTTAGAACACCCTAACAACACCCTAGCAACCACCCAAAATACCTTAAAACACCCTAGCAACACCATAGCATCCACCTAAAATACCCTAGAACACCCTAGCAACCACTCAAAATACCTTAGAAACCACCTAGCAACCACCCACAACACCTTAGCAACCCACTAGAAACACCCTAGCAACATTTAATTACTTGAAACTATACTTTAACCTTTAAACTACTTTGAACTTTAAACTATTTAAAACTTTAAACTACTTTAAACTACTTTAAACTAATTTAAACTTCAAACTACTTTAAAATTCAAACTTATTTAAACTTTAAACTACTTTAACTTTCAAACTAATTTAAACTTCAAACTACTTTAAAATTCAAAC